ATTCATAAATAAGTTATCAATCAAACGGTTAAACAAATTGAATCCACAACTTATGAAATTCCAACGAAAGTTAATCAATTCATATTGCAAATATAAACATAGTTTCGAATCACCCCCTAGCTAAAGGGGGTTTAGTTCCTCATACCTTTGAAATCAAAGAAACACCTAAACATTCCAACAACTCAAAACTTGAATTGTATGAACGTTTAAGCACTCTTCTCTTCCATTCCTTATACGTACAAAACAAAGAGAATTAAAATGAAACTTTGAAATCAAAGAAACACCTAAACATTCCAACAACTCAAACTTGAATTGTATGAACGTTTAGGCACTCTTCTCTTCCTCGTTGTTGTAGCACAAGGTTTAAGGATAGGTTGTGTGATGGTATGAAATGGAAGGAGAAGTGTTTGTGTATTGCAATGGAAAATGAGATGCCTTGGTGAATGGAATGAATGGGTATTTATAGGAGGATTAGAGATGTGAATGGATGATTGTTTAAGGTATTTGGTGGAAGGGAAAAGGTGTGGATGGTAATGGAATGGTGGATGGACGGTTTAGTGGATGTAATTTAGGGTTTATTTAGGTGAATGTGGATGCATGGTTTAGTGGATGTAAAGGATAATGGGATGGTGTGGAATTAAAAGCTAAAAAAATGGGATAATGGGCATTTAAGTGTGAATGGAATGGTGGGATGCACTAATGGAAATTATGGAATGGAATGGTGGGATGCACTAATTAGGAGGAAGAATTAGGGTGAAGGGCTTAATGCATGGATTTGGGCCTAAAATGCCCCCCCTTGCATGGCAAGGGAAAGGACTTGGGCTAAAGCCCACGGCAATGGCTCTAAAATGGGCTAAGGTTAGGGTTTAGGTGTGGCATAGGCTTAGGGTCCACAAAGAGTTAGGGTTTAGGTCATCTAAAAGCCCAAAGCCAGGAATAGAAACTCACGACAATGGAAACCTCCAAGAATAGAAACTTCCAACTTTAGAAACTTTGGTTACCAATTCCGACTTCCTTGCTCTTCACTTTCATTTCTTCATTTCTTAAGCTCCTTTGACCTTCAACCTCGTCCATTCCTCGTGCTCCATTTGCATACACCACATTCCAGCTCAGTTTTGCTCCAAAAGCTCCCAATTGCATCATTTCATGTAATATGTCCTTTAAACCTGAAAACACATGAAAGTAGCTTAAAAGACTACTTTAACGAATAAAACATAACAAAAATGCATAAGAACTAGCTAACTAAGGCGTATAAATATGCTCCTATCAAGCAACATATTACTTATGTAAGTGGATTGAGGCAGAACCTTTATCTTGGATAACTAGCATAATGGTCATACCTTTTTTTTTCCTGGAAGAAACATTTCCTATCATTTTAGAATGCCTCACACTATATTTATCAACAATGGTTTGCAATTCACCAGCTTCGAAGTCATGGACTGGTACAAGGTTTTAGAATCTGTCATCTCACCTCCACTCGGCGATACCTCAGGGCAACGGTCGAGAAGAAACTTCAAACAATACAATTTTACAATGTCTGAAGAAAAGGCTTGAGGAGAAGGGCATATGGCCAAAAGAACTGCCTGGAGTTCTATGGCATATCGCATCACTGTTTGTAAAGCAACTGGGAAACCTCCATTTTCACTTATGGAACATAAGCTATTATTATTGTCCAAGTCATAATGATGCCAAACTTATACATTCAAGAAATGACTAAGTTAGAAAAAGTTGAGATCGTCAAATCAAACCTCAACTTTGTGGAAAAACACAGGGAATGTGCCCAAGTTTGATTTGCTGCCTATCGACTTCAGATTCGATCATACTTAAAAAAGGTGTTAAGCCTCGAAGTCTTCATGTTGGAGACCTTGTCTTAAGGAAAATCTTCAAAAACACAAAACTACCAAAGAAGGCAAGCTCGGGGCAAACTGGAAGGGTTGTATAGAGTCGTGGGAGTAGGAGACAAAGGAACATAGTACCTGACTAACATTGATAGAACTCTAATCGCCAAAAGGTGAGATATCACAATTCCAGTGGTCCTACTAAAGATCTCACAATGCTACGGCCTACGTATAGACAAGTTTATGGAGAACTCATCTTCTTAATGCCCTGCCATAGGCTACTCACCAAGAATGGTTCATGATGCATTACAAATCCCTAATATCCTAAATAATACAAGCTTTGAAACTTCGCATAATTGCAAGTTTAAAAATTCAAAGTGATAATGTAAGAAGAGTCTCTTATAGCCCATTCTGTGGTGTTCCAGTTAGCATCTTAGGAGGCTCGAGCCATATTAAGTGCGGCCACGATAGGCAAACTACAGAAACGGAGACATTGCCCCTTGCTCTGCAAGTTCCAACTTACCATCCAGTTTTTGAAAAGATTATACAACCAAATGATTGTGGTTGCTATACACCATCCAGCTTTTGAAAAGGTTATAAGATCTGAACCTAAGCTATACACCATCTGAGTGAATAATCGAAAAGGCTATCCAAAAATTATCCGAGTGGTTGCTCTTAACTCCGACTTGGAGTATGATTACTTTTATACTGAACCAGCGTACTACGCCAAGTACATTATGCGGCACCATATGTCTAATGCAGGTTTGAATTAGGCATCTAGACTAGGAAACCCTCCAGAGAAATTTTTATTTTAGTGGAGCTCTGAAACACAAAAACACCTTAGACAAGTTAACTAAGTGTAGTTCGACCAGAAATGCTTAGGTCCAACGCATATGGTTTGACAGAAAGATCAAAAATGTGTTTCCGATCCACATACAAGCAACCAATTCCTTAACAAACTTTCATTTAAGATTCACTAGGATGAACACATAATTTGGACTAAGAAGAAAATCCCTTCTTGGTGGCACGTTGCAACTATTAAAATCCTCAAACTTGGAATGGGCAAGATGAAAGAACAAACGGACATATATGCTCACTTAAAGGAAGAAGATTATACTAACATTAAAAACCGTAGATCATTCCGAGCATGACTCATCACTTTCTCATCCTTTATCTGACCAATGCATCAAAGCATGTTTAGAGTAGAAGATTTTTCATGAGTTTTTAAATCTGGTGTCAGAATATGGTGGTACTCCGATTATCACAGTGAAAATCTCTGCAAACACTAAGTTTGGGAGGCAACATTTTTCCGAATCAATGTTATCGAGAGAGGCTTATAGCTCTGTCCCATGCTTACAAGCTTATTCGTGTTTTGCTCTGTTACTTATTACTCTATAGGTTTACTTCATAAAGATTTGTCAGATTAAAACTTTATTACATGATTAGGAAACACAGGATGAAAAGTTCCAAGCGCTTTACTCTAACAGGATTAATGACTTCGGTAAAACAACACTTAAAATAATGTGTAGGCACATGTGTATTGTATAATCAAAGTCCCATGAGTTGGGAAAAAAAGTACAATTCTTTGGGAAGACACGCCTTCAACCTTATCGCGAAATTTCTGTAACAAAGGTGCTTTATTCCAGTGTTGATGCTTGTTATTCTAGCTTGCACAGTTGACTTTAGAAGGATGATGAGAGGATTCAATGAAGAAGAACCCACTGAACAATCTCCACACTCTGCTTAAGTTCAACGCGTATGCAAAGGCTGCAAGGAGGATGTTGCTATGGAGCAGAGTATGGAGATATAGAACCCGATGAGGAGAAAAGTTTACTAGAGAAAGGTTTTGGCTTGTCCTTAATTTTTTATAACAATTAATGTTGCAGATTTCTTGGCTACATGTCCTAATTATCAAGGGCTAAAAGTGAGGAATGGGTACAAGAGTTAAAGTATAGCAAGAATGGAGGAGAGCCATACTTTGGATATGAAATTTGAAAGAGAAAAGTTTGAAAAAAGGAAAGAAAATATAAGTTATGAGAAGAGTCTCTGAATAATCTCACAGTTGAATTCAGAATGCCTCACCTCGAGATTCATGTGTCCAAAGGTAGAAGTCAATTGATAATGTAAGGAGCCGCCCCTTGTTTATTGTGCACATGTAATATGACATCCCTCATCACTGTTGTCTTCGTGCCACAATTTTCGAGCCCGCATGTCTAAATCTAGAGCATCACAACTCACGGCTTACGAAGTTGAATTACCACGTGTTAGAAAAATTCAAAATGATATGTATTTCACTTTACTTCAAAAGGCATGGTCTTTGGATCCTCAAGGGGAACAACCCTTTCAGTTGCACAGTTAGGGGCAATTATACAGGATCATAATTTTTCAGGGCCGGAGTAAGGTGGATCGGAACAAGAATACCTCAGAAGTCCCGTCATGGACAACTTTCACCACGGAACTGTACAAATGGATCAGCGATGCCCCCATTATCTTGTTTCGAATAAGTAGGAAGTCTGTCGACTTAGCTAAGATTGACCATGCTTGTTCCGCAAGATAAGGAAACTAGATCTGGTATGGAATCAACCAGGTTTCCTATATTCTTGGACATTCCTACAATTTAGAGATTTGGCGTGCGGTATATGTAATCACATTCTTATGAGGATGCAATATTTACTTCTAGATATCCTTTGGGATTCTCAAAGTTTAATACGGATTATATATCCTAAAAGGACTCTATCTCGTCTGGTATAAATACATCCATCCAGGGTTCACCTCTGGTAACACAATTATCACATGCTCCATTCTCTAGCCATTGCTTGAATCTCAAGTATTTGCTTACTAACTTGACCGTTAGAGAGCCTTTGGCAGGCATCCAACCAGTCCTAAGGTTGCTTATGGTAGTTTCTTGTTTTATAGGTAGTCGAGTTTGTGCATCTCTACTGCTCGCGGCTGTGCACGAATTGGTTCCAACAAGCACCAAAAATAATTTGAAATCAGGTTTCATTTTCTCATTAATCCTACTCCTCTTTCTCTGCCCTCCAAACAATACAGTCAGAATCAAAATCATTTGGGCCAAGGATTGCAAGGGAAAGGGTGGGTTGATGATTGGACGGAAAGGGGTTGGGTTACAGATAGACGGGAAAGGGAGGAGTCGACGTATTATAGAGGGCGGGTGGTTCGACGAAGCTGGCGACTTAGATCTGGAAGAAGACTGACTGGCGGGAGTTGATGCTTGACTTTGCTATTGTTGATGAGACAAGTGACCCGCGAGATGTTATTATTTTTAAAACACTTTTTAAATTTTTTTGCTTTTTATATGATTCACATGGCACAATATTATTATAACACTGGGTTCTATCTATGTGCCAAGTGAGCACACTGATAATTTTTTTGATGGGATTCTAACGGAAGAACGAGATTGATTTACGGCATCTAATTTTCAGGATGATTTCAATGACTAAAGTGAGATCAATTTATGATCAAACATTTTTTATTTTATTTTTTTATTTTTTATTTTTTATTTTTTTACTTCCGTCCTTCCATGGCCACTTCTCTAGTGTTGCTTACTTTTCAAGCTTCTGAAATCAAGTCAGATGCATATTCCTTATTTTTGTTGGGCATGACCTTATGATCCTATGGAAGTCAATCATGCATGTTCTTGTAGGCACCAAGTCTGTCTCTACTCACTACGAGCCACCAGCAGAGATTTGGTTTTTGATTCTAAAGTAACTAAAGATATTGCAACCAATTTGCAACTTAATTGAAAACAAACCAACCAACAATGTCCAACCTGTCAAATTACAATAAAACACTATACAGAGATGAGAGATGTTTCTTTTACGTTGAGGCAACCACGACTGGCACTAAGGCCAATAGCAAGTCAACTAACAAGCACTTTTTTTAAGTCCTCTACTGCTGATTAATTGACATTGTCAATCAATTAATTTTATCAAATATTAAAAAAATATATATATTGAAAGAGCTCAGCTGGCGGGTAACGTTGGTTTTGGTTGGCAAAGTTCACATGGCTCTCACTTTGTATCATTCAATTCAACACATCACATGAAAAATAAATTAATTAATTAATTAAAAAAAATAAATAAAAAAAGAAATTTTAGAAAAGAAAAGTGTAGCCCAAGAAAAAGTTGAGCACCTAGCTAGTGACTTAAGAAGAATCAGGAACCACCTTGAAAATGGCCTCCCCTTTTCTTTATCAAACGTGATCATAGTTTCTTTTTCCAAACTTTTCCCAACATTTTGCATCCTATTGGATTTAAAGGAAGCAAACACTTTTAACTTTGATCATTAAAGCTTGGAGCTCGATCAGCAAAAAACTTTTCTTTATTTGTCTTCAACAATAATACAGCCAGCCATGGATACTTCTATGAAAAGAAGAACGCTGCTTAAGGTCATCGTCCTTGGAGATAGTGGGTATGTTATGCCATAACTATTTTTCTTTCTGCTGTTAGTTTTTTATACAAGGATATTGGAAGATGGTAATTGAACTTGAGCTCTCATGTGTAAGGACGAATGTCCTTCAACCAACTTAGTTACAAGCTCCTTACACTAATTCTTCTTTTCCCCTGTAATGGGCTTTGTTCACTGATATGAACTATTTTCTTCTTTGGCGCTCCCTACAAACGCGCCCCAACCCCCCCCCCCCCCCCTCCTCCTCTATAGAGAATAGAACTTGAACGAGGCCTTCCCGACTTTACCGTCTCATAAAAACAGCTAATTTTGATTACCGCTTGAGGGCTTTACTCACTCTTCCACCCCAAAAAAAACGAAAAGAAAAAGTAAGATCTATTCTTTTGAGCATTTTCTTTACTGATATGAACTATGTTCTTCTTGTTTGTGTGCCATTTCAGGGTAGGAAAGACGTCTTTGATGAATCAGTATCCTTTCCATATATGCAACCGGAACCGTAATTATATATGAACACACACACAGACAGAGAATTGATCAGTTGTCATGAATTCTGTATTTTATGATGTTGGTGTTTCATTTCTCTTCGCTTGTATGTCCAAGCATTTAAACTGGAACTTATAGTTAGTAATTGATTCCACATAACATGGTTTTATGCAAACTTGTGCATGGCTACATTTGAATATACTGCAATGTGTGGATCCTTTATGTTTTGTCCAGATATGTTTATAAGAAGTTCAATCGACAATATAAAGCTACAATTGGTGCAGATTTTGTCACCAAGGAACTTCAGATTGATGACAAATTGGTGACTTTGCAAGTGAGTAATTAGAACATTAATAGTATCTTATATATTATTCACATACAGCTAACTAAACAAGGCTTAATTATGCTCTTTTTTAATATGTTTACTGCCTTCGTATTTGACAGATTTGGGACACAGCAGGGCAAGAAAGATTTCATAGTCTTGGAGCTGCGTTTTATCGAGGATCAGATTGCTGCGTTCTTGTGTATGATGTGAATGTTAATAAATCATTTGAAGCACTTCAGAACTGGCATGAAGAGTTTCTCAAACAGGTTTCCTAAAACGCTTCTTCATTTTTCCAATTTGTCAGTTCATGGTACTTAATATTTATTTCCGAATATTTTCATTAATGGTTATCAGGCAGATCCAACTGACCCGGCAGCATTTCCCTTCATACTACTGGGAAACAAAATTGACATAGATGGTGGAAACAGCCGTGAGGTATATATACATGGATAAATGATGCATCCTGAAAATTTTCTAAGCTTTTATTCTTGGAATTAATACAACATATTAATTTTGCAGGTTTCTGAGAAGAAAGCTAGGGAATGGTGTGCTGCAAAGGGAAACATACCTTACTTTGAGACCTCGGCGAAAGAGGATTACAATGTTGATGAAGCATTTCTATGTGTTGCAAAAACAGGACTAACCAATGAACATGAACAAGACATGTAAGTACACAACTTGACATGATTACCATTCTTTCTATACACAACAAAATGTACAGGGTTCATTCTGGTTCCTTCCACATCTTTTATTGTTGCCTATCTTAATTATGGTATGCTTGGCTGTTCTTTCAGCTAAAAGTATTTCAAGAACGGCTAAAAGTGGTTTTAGAATGGCTAAAAGTGCTTTCACATAACCAAAAACACCCGTGATAACATTTGGAAGCAAATGTTCAAATGCTTCTAAGTTCCGGGCTCGGAAAAAAGATAATGCTTCCAAGTTAAAAGATTTGTAGTGTGCATACGGAGAAGGACCTAGTAGCAAGGTGTTCAACACACTTCTGAGTGTTCATCTAGGAAAACCACTGTTCTAAAAATCCCTGCCTAGCCGCTAGACGGCTAGCCACCGTCCCGATTAATGCCTAGGCGTTTGAAAATTAAGAAAGGGAACCAAGACCAGTTGAGGCGCTCGCCTAGCCCGCCCAGACCTGCCTAGACACCTGCTTAGGTTACAACTTACTTAGACAAAAAAAATAGATAACTTTCATTTTGCATTTAATTTTTTTAATAAATTGTAAGAGACTTGTTGAATACTTAAATGAGCACACACTATATGCATGTTCCCCATGTTTTCATTATGTTCCAATACTTCATAATACATATGTCATTCTATTTTGTAGTTTATGATGAAATTATATATATTTAAAGTATAAACAGGTACTTATTTACACGAAATATAATGGATTTACTTAAATCCGCCTAATCCGCCTAGGCGCCTCGCCTAGCCACCTAGACGCTAGGCCTTAGCTCGCCACCCAACTAGCGCCTAATGTCTTTTAGAACCTTGAGGAAAACTTGGATTTCATCGTGCTTATTAAAACAGTTCCAGCGAAAAGTTTTTATGAGCATAAATGTTTCGTACAAAATCACTCTCAAACAAACCCATCGTTACCTTTTCATTTCTATGTCGAAGGTACAACATAACCAAGCTAATATGCTAGTTTTCAATGCTGCAGTTACTTCCAAGGTATTTCAGAAACTGTTTCAGAAGCAGATCAAAGAGGAGGCTGTGCATGCTAAGGATGGGCCACCTCTTCTGAATATGTAAATTTTTTCTATAATTTTTTCATTCTTTTGAGGGTGGAAGAAAATATTTCATACCTTCATGTGTTATAGTGTGCCATCGAGCATTCCTAAATGTACCATTGTGAGTCTATATTTTAGCTCTAATTTTCACAACTGCGTATGAAATGAACTATGTACCATTGTTTCTGTTCGAATTAAAATAACCAAGACAGAAATATCTTATTATGAGTATGGTTTTCCCTTCTCATGAAGCTTTTACTTTTAGGTTCCGAGTCTTTTCTCTTTCTTTTCAATATAACGGTATTAAGAGCGGGGAATTTGGATTAAGCCACATAGTGAAACAACCATAATAGGATATCAAAATGTATTATTCATGGGACTTTAATCAAAAACCTCTCACTTACAAGTGAAGAGGAATACCACTAGATTGTAGTGTTAGTGGCTAAACTTTAACTATAACTATAAGACACCTAGATAAATACTTTGTTTTATACAACTATGTTGACATTAAGGGTTGAGAATAAATTGGTATAGAACTTGTCACACCCAATCGGGACATACGTCTAGGATCGACACGTGGTGCTTTACTGTAGGGGATATGAGGAAATACGAACAAGAAATACCAAACTGAAATTATAATAAAATAAGCTGGTGGGTTCTGGTCATAATCAAAACACCGAGAATCCCGAAGGATGCACCCATACATCCATTAGCCTTTCTAAATCAAAACACAAGGTTCTCAAATCTATCGTTCATAAATACAAAACTACGGCTAGAGAGACACAGTTTGACCGAAGCCTATACCTTCTAAGCTTCACATTGTAGACTGAATCCAAGGCATCAATGAACCAACAGAAACAAGGTATGCGATTTTGGACCACTTAATGAAATCAATGAAGATTGGGTTCTGGACCACTCAATGGAACTGAAAGAAAACAGGATTCTGGACCACTTAACGGAATCCGACAAGAAAGGGTTCCAGATCACCCAACGAAATCGAGGAGTATGAGGGATTCCAGATCACTTTTGAAGTCAAGATTTAGTTGTTTTTGGCTTTCTTTGTCAATCTTGTAATTATGTACCATAGATGCTCTTTAGATCAATTTTCCTTAGATTAGACTTTAGGATACTTGGTTCTAAAGTATGGGTTATCGAAGATCAAAGTGCTAATGGTGTTGCCTCAACGCAAGTAAGGTTTGTACATGTATATGCATTTTACGTTTAAATTTTTTACGCATTATGACTAGTGAAGTTGTCCTGTCAGAATTGCTTGCTGTTTTTATGCTAGCTGGGCACGCAATTTAAGGCAGCCCACATGGGCTGACTGACACCTTTTATATGAGATTGAATCTATTGATCTGCTCAGATTGCTTTTACATTTGACAAGTGTCTTTTTGTATTCTTTTCTGCAGCAATCAAAGGTTTTGCTTTATAGGGTTAGAAGATTTCATTTCCTTATTGGCGAGAAAGATTATTTTTTAGAGAGTGTCTTTGTTTGGCATCTCCAACTCAGATCTCCTAAGAGTATCAAGCATTTTCTGGGTATAGTTCTTCATTGAATATTTATTAAACTATCCATGAAAATGATTGCTTAAATCTTCTTAGAGGCTTTAATATGCTAGTTTTCAATGATGTAGTCACTTCCAAGGTATTTTAGAAACTGTTTGAGAAGCAGATCAAAGAGGAGGCTATGCATGCTATGAGCATCCCCAATTAGGGGTTCTATAGGAGGCTGGAAAAGTGGTGGATATACCTCATTTTAGAGCTCTAAGAACTCTTTGCGTCTCTAAAAAAGAATCTGCCCCAGTGAGGGGCTATATACCTTTCAAGCTCTATATAGGGCTATACATTTGTTTATGTGGTGATTTCATTGCGCAACAACTTTTTTGTGTGTGTTAACTATTCTTAAGTTAATTTTTTAATGTATTATCTAAATTCTTTTTATGAACCTTTCAATCTAAAAAAATTTAAATTCTAACAAAGTTAGATTTCATCACTTATGAACCGTTGGATTAGATTCTCTTATCTCAATCTCATCTGTTGGAAAATTCAAATGTCCACTTTGCACTCCGAAATAATTAGATTGCACATGTGTGGAACTAATATGCACATAAAGGCTAAGTCTTGTCTTTGTAGCATTTAATAACTAAATTGTAATGACTTTACAATTTAGGTTGGTTTGCTTGTTTATTCTTTCAAATAAATAAATTGTAAAGCCCATACAATTTAGGTATGTCGTTTTTTATGTTTTTGGTTTAGGTCTTATACTACCAATGTCATTTCAATATGTAGTGTCTTTTTATTTTGAAATTAATAAAAGCAAGTCATCCTTTTAGTAGAACATCTTATATCATTTTATATCTTAAGCATTAAACATACAAACAAAATGTAGGACCTTCGGAAAAAAAATATGTAAAAAAAAAAAAAATATATCAAAGAAAAAGAATAAAAAATGAGAGTATAAGTGTACTCGCAAGTAAAGGAAGTGTGATAGAATTTGGCTCATATTGGTAGCTACTTTTCTCATGGGACCCATTGTTTTTTTGGGGCTGGATGTAGCCTAATTTTTTGCTACCCAAGGAATGAAGTTGCCAACCCAAGTGATGGATCTAGTCCAATATTCTCATTCATTAGGGATGAAATTTCTCTTTTTTTTTAATTTTTTGATTTTTTTGTCGAAATTAGGGATGAAATTTCTCACTAGGACTTCAAATGTAGTAACCTCATGAAGGATAAAGTCCCCATTGGGGATACTCTAAGGATGGGCTATCTCTTCTGAATATGTAAGAAAATTTCTTTTGAGGGTGGAAGAAAATATGTCATACCTTCATGTGTTATAGTGTGCCATCGAGCATTCCTAAATGCACCATTATGAATCTACATTTCAGCTCTCTAATTTTCACTTCTGCGTATGAAAATGAACAATGTACCATTTTCCTACTCGAAATAAAATAACCATGACAGAAATATCTTATTATGACTGGTTTTCCATTCCGATGAAGCTTTTATTTTCACGTTACGAGTCATTTTTATTTCTTTCACTATAATGGTATTAAGAGTGGGGAATTTGGATTAAGCCACATAGTGAGACAACCACAACACGATATCAAATGTAATATTTGTGCAGCCAAAAATAATTTCAAAAATTCTAGAGGATTAAAGATAAGGATTAATAACCCAAATTCTATCTTTAATACATTCCCAATTTACGATTCACTACATTCCCAATTAAAGATTGACTTCATTCAAGTAAGTAATATCTATTTAACTCAATTAGAGATATTTATACCATTATCTCAAGATATTATTTCCTACTTAATATCTTGAGAATATTCTCTCCATAAACCTTGGATGCTACTATGTGTAGGGTAAAACCCTAACAACATAGCTGGCCATTCCCCTATACATTCCTCCATCTCTACCAAATTTCGGTAAGCTTTTGGAACCCCTCTCCCTCCACCTCATAGGCCTGTGAGGCTTAGGACTTTGATCAAAAGTGTTGATTGTTTTACAAGTGTATTTTTGCCAAAGGAAGAGACGGCAGAAATTTGCATCGACAAATTGGTGCTTTCATTGAGAGCTTATTCAAATACTCAAAGAAGACTCTCGTGATTGGTTTTTAAAATTTTCTGCTACGTTGAATTTCTCACACATCGCATCAATTAAGTTTTCCTAGAAAAGTTTCTTGATCAATCCTTGGAGAAAGAATACAATGATAGGAAATTCAAAAACCACGGTGAACGGAATCCGTACGTTCAAGGATTTGGACCAGAGAGTGAAGGCAAGGACATAACCCCATGATGGTGATCCTTAAGACTAAACGTGACCCAGTAACCACAGCAGGGCTACCAGGCCACGACCCAAGAAAGTGTCATCTAGCGCGCCGATCCCCAAATCCTTGGGCATGAGGCCTAGGTCTATGCAATGGCCCATAAGTATGAGGCTTGAGGCGTGGCAAGCCTACGGCAGAAGGCTCATCCTACTGTAGTAGCAAGCCTTGCTGCATAACTATACCAGCCAACAGGAGGAGTCTACAGGCAGGTGGCCCAAGCCCACCTAGCTGCCAACTTGGCTTACCTCACTTCCAGCCAAGCCCAAGCCTACGAGGAGCAAGCACTAGCCTAACACTCAGTGCAGGCCCAAGGCCAGCTAGCACACGAGATCCCCGCGCACGGCCCAACCACCTAAGAGAGTTGGCCCGCCCTGCGACTCGCTCTAGTAACCTATTGTACAGCCCCAGATCAGTCCAAGATCATTTTAGGCAATCCAACTTCTGACCATTGAACTAACGGTCGACCCAGGGATGTTTTCACCCATTTTTTCGTTGGTATGACCACACTGAGCTCGAGTTTTATATCTGTAACTCATTACACTTCCATCACATATGGAGACGCCGATCATCCATACTCTTCTACTCCAAATGGCGGACGTCACCTGCCCTGGCAGGTCATCGACTTAACCAGCGCCCTCGCGCAGTAGACCACCTTGGTAAATCAGCTTCTTAAGTGCAATGAGACGCAGCGCGTCCCAGATGAGGTGTCCCAAGCAAGACAAAGACAGATGATCGTGACTCATTCCAGCAACGTCCTAGAAAACAGCCGTTCAGCCCGCCACGAACCATGTGTTTGGGTAATGTACATTCTTGGTTTGGCCCGCGAGAAAATGTCTTCTTCTGCCTCAGTATGCAGAGAAACTTTCATTCTCGACTTATATCACGTGTTAGTGTGCATTCAAGGTTGGGTCTACACTCTAACGAGCACTCCGAACATTCTAGGTGAAGTGTCCACACGAGGTTAGGTCCACAAAGAGATCTTTCTGCAAGGCACCAAAGTAGGCAACTGCATGACAGACCGAGGAGAGCACGAGAGCAGGCTGGCTCAAGTTCAACTGGCTGGCCCCACTAAGTGCGACAGCGAGCAGCTCTCTCACTAACCATAAATGAACCGTTTGCACCACAGTCCCGACATATATGAGCAGGACATGCAGAAGAGCAACATGGGCCAGCAGGGCAACACCGGGGGCAGCCGGAGGCTCCGTTGCCCCAACAAAAGCAAATCCAGAATGAAGTACAAAGACTCATAGTATAGCTGATTGGCTTCTAGCGCATTAAAACAATCGACGATGTCCTTTGGAGAGACTTGGCCAATATGAGCATGCCACCAATCACGGATGAGATCGAGCAGACGGAACCACCGCAGAAGT